ATTAAGTAACATGCATCGTGAAAATATCAAGTGCCTAAAGAGTCTGCAGAAGACTGCCACGTAGACCTTCTCTCCTTCTCTCCCATGACAATATGAAAAGTGTATTCATATAATACATTCATACCAATACATTCATATAATATGTACAACATGTACATGTACAACTTTTCATATGTTTCCTTATGTTTTCTCTCACAGGGAATGACTGCTCATATTTTTTTTTTCAATTTCACCACTTTGAATCAGTCCTTGGGCATAACTGTGCTGCTCTACAGTGAGAGGAATGTCAGCTTGTTAAGCTCTGTTTCTCTTTGAGAGGAGTTTTATAATAGGCATTTAGGTTCAGTTTGTAATAGGCCCTAAATCAGGTAAGGCTGGAAATAAAAATGCCAGTTACATTTGTCTGCTACTCAAATCACTCACTGAAAGCAAAACTGATCAACTGAAAGCTCAAAAGCTGGACGATAAAGTAGGAATACTTACTAGAATAGCGGACATCACTCCCCGTCCCTTTATTATCTTCTCCAGGACTGCTTCCACGACTGCCAGAAGCTAGATGTGCAAAAGAAATATTGCCTTTCATGTACTGCCAGAAGTCCCAAACAACTCACCCTGAAAAATTACCCTCCCAAAAGAACTTTTGTGTCCCCAGTTCTGGAGCCACTTGGTGCTTCACATTTCTATTTCTTCTCAATAACTCTCTTCTCGGATAACTTGGCAAGTGGGGTAGAAAAGTTTACCCAGCATGGCCTGGAAGAAACACACACTTCACATAGTTGCAGTCCTTTATAGGATCATCTGGTGGTCCACTTACAGGTTATGAGCTACAAGCTTTTTCACTTTTATGAGCTTATGGTACTGTTCAATATTAGAAGAGAACTCTTGACAAGGAAGAAACAAGAATGAGTGAAAATTAAACTTATCTCCAAAAGAAGAAAGACTAAAATATTTCAGTTACTGCTAATTAAAAAATAAAAAAATAAATTAAAAAAAAGTGCTAATAGTAGATGAAGAAGTCTAAAGAGGTGCAATATTAATAGATGGCAAGTTTCTTGAGAGTTATTATAAACAGATGTGCATGCTCTCTCTGCCACATCTGGACAGAGCAATGACTGCTGTGAGCCTCTGGGACATTTTTAGGTCTGAGTTTAAAGGAATGCATTTCTACCTTCAGGTGTGTCATAGTTCTGATTTTAGAAAGGAATTTTTCTTTCCCTTTCCCCTTTTTCCCCCTCCCCCCCCCCTGCATGAATGCTATTCAAGAACCATCAAGTGAACAAAGGAGTCGGCCTGGCTCTTAACGACCGAGAATTAGTCTCCTGGCAACGACGGGGGAGGAGTTGGGAAGAAGGCGGAGTTGGTCGGGAGCTCAGCTCGGGAGCAGGAGAGGAGGCTGCGGCCGGCGGGAGGGACTGCCTGGTTTCTCCTTTGTTTTTTTTTCCTGTGGGAGCTCTCTGCAGAGTTACGGGCTGGTTGCAGTCTTGGTTCTTTTCCACCGCGGAACCTTCATCGAGTCGTGAGTTTTTTTCTTCCATTGGGAGAACTTTCTGTTTCCCTTCCCCCTCCCCCCTCCTCCTTTGCCACCCGGCGGAGACCAGGGATCCAACAGCGCCGCCCGGTGACGAGCGCTGGACATTGCAAGTTCCACTCCTCTAGTGATCCAACAGCGCCACCCGGTGACTACTATAGAACATTA